AAACCCTTTTATTAGTTGGTTTATATACCAAATTCAGTAAAACATTTTTTACATAAAACATGAGATATTGGATTCATTATCTTTTCCATTCTAAATCATATAGACTGCTTTATTTATTCTTAACGAAAATTAATAAATCTCCTCTCTTTCTTCAGATGTGGAAGTTGTGGACAAACCTGTCTAAGCATTGTGAGACTCCCGCAGCACAAGAAGCAACAGCAAAAATAGTAAGTATATCAATCAAAAAATTAAGCCGACATAAAACAAAACTTTCAACTATTCGTCTAACCTCAATTTCCTATTATTTATTCACAGGACAACTAGCAGAGGGGAGATATCAGAAGTCTGGCGACATATCAGTGACAGTGTGATTCCAAGAAATATAATTTAGAGTACTCCATAAATGTTTGCAATAGAAGAACAACCTATGGAGGCATGCAAACACATTTGACCCTCCAGTAGAGTTATGTATGGCCCCCATATCCTGCAGGGCTTGAGGAAAATAACTAAAAATTCCAAAGCGTAAGATTCCATAAGCGTAAGCACAAAACACGCCAGACATACTTAAAACAGCTTTGGAAAATGAGGATTACGGGTCACTCACTACACCTGTGTTATATTTGGTTCATCAACTTTTGGTAGTACTATAGAAGAAATTCAGGAAAGGGTATAATCATGATTCACGATAAAATACTGTTATATATTTTAGCCAACTTTAATCTAGACCAGAGATGTCAAACTCGCGGCCCCAGAGAACTTCCAGCGCGGCCCTCGAACGCCTAACAATAATTCTAATAGTATTTTGGAAGTTTTTTTTTATCTAAATGTAATAGATTTTTCAAACCTTCTAAAGTGAAATTGATTATTCACACAGAAAACAATTTACTGAAAGTAGTTTTGAAAAATTTTTTTTTTTTGTTCACATTTTGACCCAATTAAGAATACACATCAAGCTAGCAAAAGAATACTTGAATAAAACACTTGAGTGAATAAATTAAACGCAAGTACATGAAGAAGGTGGCATTTTCGAAGAAAATGGGAGTTGCAATATTTCTGCATTTCACAAAATTCTGAAGCAAAGAAGAATTCTGTTTAATTTGTCATATTTCCATCAGTACGATGAAAAAACACAATCTCAAAACACAAGCTCAGCAGTCAATATGACAAATTCGAAGAGCAACTTCGAACAGAAAGTTTCCATGTGTTTGTATATTAATATAATTATACAACGACTAAGTTACTAAAAATCAATAATAATTCAAGCAATCCTATGCCACGCAATGTGGCGCGAAATGTCTTGTCGAAAAAACCTGTCATTTGTTTTTTTACTGATCTATACATAAAATGATAAAAGTAACTTTTTTGCATTACTGGAATTATTTAAACATTCGCAAAGATCCCGATTAACCCATGATCATGTGACCTCGTGAGTTAGAGTTGGTACTATAAAATCATTTCAGCCTGGCCTTAGTATGCTGGTGACACATAAAAGATGCCAAACGTCAGGACAAATGTAATTAAAAAAACAATGAGTTTATACTGTAGTATTTTTGTCAATTTTAGATCCATATATTTCGATTAAGTGTATGTATTATTCTTTCCTTATCCAAAGCTTGTTCAAAAATGATTTTGATGGTTGTACATAGAATTTTATGATTTTTTGTAAAAAATACAGTAACTTGCAATAATAGTGAAATGCAAATATTAATATGTAATTGCATTTGAAATTAAAGAAAATAATAAAACTTAATTCAACTGTTTAGTTGCATCACAATGTATGTCACAAACTGAAACTATCTTCCAAGTATACATTATCAAAAACTGTTTGCGGCCCTTTTTACAATTTGAATTGAGAGTTCATGAGCTATGAACTTTTGTTCTTTTCTTTGTCTTGAACTTTCCATACTCCACAGCCCCTATTAATTTTTTTTTAATTTAAATTACCATGTGATGGTCATATACATCTTTAACTTGTATTTTCTGTCATGGTGTATTATCTCAATGTGTCAAACTTTTAATTAGTGTGCATATTTTGCTTCCAGATGACATAAATGCATTGTCTTGGAGTATTGACAAGAAAAAGGTGCCAGTAAATTACGTAAAATTTTTTAAAACTCTTTGTTATAATCAGAATTCACAATTAATAGAAATTATAAACAGCCAACAATCAATGAGAATTATATATATGCGAAATCCCTCAGAATAAATTTTCTCCTAAAATCGGAGGAAGGCAAAACATATAGGTAGTTCCCATTCACACAAGTTTTTCAAGAGGACTTGCTCGAGCCAAACTAAATGAGCATCGTCAGGTGATCGGTAAGGCTGAAAGTTGAATTTAGCCCTGCAACCTCATGCATCGAAGATAATAATAATTAGTGAGCTACGAGCTAAATTTAGACACAAACCTATCTACGGGGCATTATGTACCAGAAATGTTACCTACGATTAGCTAAATATGTAATATATCTAAGAAATTCACCTACTAAAGCAAGTTCGATAGGTGCAAACTTTGTGTTATGGAATTGTACCACAGCACCAAAAAAAGAAGTAAAAACAGTTTTGCTGTTTTGTATGACACCCTCTTTAAATGAAATTTCAATGTTCAAGCGCAAACATTAAAACTACTAACTTTGAACTTTGTCATTATCTGCAAAATGTTTCAAACAAATCTTTACGCTATTGCGTTTGTCATCTTTTCTGATAAAAAAAACGTCTATGATGTGCAGAATTACTCTTCGCAGCTTGTCTGCAATTCCAGCTTTCCAAGCGAGCAAAACTTCTTAGATATAAGGATTATTTTCTTTTGTTACAGGCGCAAAAAGGCAGGTACTACACGTAAAGAAAACGCCGAGTAGCAAAAGCGAGCGGAAAACGGTCGCGAAAGGCGACGAGAAATATGTGCATTGGTGCGTATCATGAAATACAATCTTTCGCCTGTAGCCTTATAGAGTGACGTCAGAGTTGTCTATCATGTTGTTTAATGTCATTGGTCGGATACAGTACCGGTACCATATAGATCAGTTCGCATCAGATCATGCTGCCCTGCGCGGAGTTTATCATGAAAACTGATCGAAGATAACGTAATATGAACAGTCGGATCAACTAAAGAATCCCCCCCCCCCCCGGACCCACCTGGGTTTTTTATGTATATGTTTTCTGGTGGACAAAACAACAAATAAACTCTCACTCTCTCCCTTTAAAACAGACTGAGGCAGGATTGCCAGATCCCAGCGATCAAAAAAAGCCAAATCAGGACATAAAAAAGCCAGAAAAAGCCAAAAATTTTACCAAGTACAAAAATCCCATAATTTGTCAGATTTTAAGCTCTTGGAACAATACTGATGATGATGTAGAGCCATCAGTTCATTCAGTGCGCCACACAATTGTCTTTTCCCATTGAAAGTTGTTTTTTCGGTTGCTATCATGGCGATTTACCCTTCAGCGGGATGAAGGGTTTATAAGTAAAAAGGATTATTTGAACGAAAGAACCAGAATCGACATTCAACACAACACAGTCAAGCTGACATCTATATGAAACAATTTAAAAAAATCAAAAAACCAAATAAAAATAAATATTAAAACGGACAGCATTATTTTACCATTCAATATATACAATACAGGGTACCGTTTCAGTATGTGATATACCTACATTTTCGAAATTTTAGAATTTATAAACCATCAATTTTATTAATAACTATCTAACCACGTGCCGCTTACAGGTGGACTACTAATAGCTAATTCAGTAATTTTTACTGTAGTTAATCACATCGTTCGTGAGACAAAATTTTGATTACTGCAATTTAACTAAAGCTTCACATCAGGCATAATGAAAATTAAGTTATACAACCATTTTTGAAAACGGAACTTAAAACTGACAAACAACACGCAAAACTATAAAAACGAGGCAAGGTTTACAACCCTGCTTGAACATCTGTCTGAGCGGTAGCAGAAACTGCAAGTATTTCTTATTGGGTAGGTATGGTTAAGCGTTAAGGTAATAAACTGGGAAATCGACGCTCGGGGAAAGCCTAATGTTAAGTACCGTACCAGTACCGGTAATAGGCTATTGTTACACACTAAATATTGTATTTCATATGATTTTAATAATAGACACTAGACTGGACTTGAAAAAAGCCAAAAAAACGCCAAAAAGCCAAACGGAAATTCTGACGCCAAACGTGTTTGAAAAAAGCCAAAAATGACAAATTTAGCGTTAAAAAAGCCAATCTGGCAACCCTGGACTGAGGCTGCGCCGTTCCCGAGATTCGTCGGACCCAAAATGGCGTCCGATATGCATCATTGCACAAGCTGTCTCCACCTGTTTTATATTCACTTTGGTATTTAGTTCTGCAAATCTAAGTCTTTGTTTCAAAGGGCTTTCCGGGTATTAGTACCGGTGTTTTATTTTACAATTTGCATAAGATAGATAGATTTTGAGTTGTAATGTTTTGTCATAGTTGGTTTTGCTCTTGGGCTGGCTTTATCCGACTGTAAACTTAGTCAGCTTTAAATGCGATTTGAATATCATAAATTCACGTCTGCAAATAAAAGTGTAGCCTACCGTAACTCACGATGTTGTGGGAGCCAATTCCGCTAAATATAAAAATTCTGTCTTAAAATGTATTTGGGATAGTGAATACAGGAATAATTTGACTCTACCCACTTCTAATGTTTACAATCTGACAATGCAATTAATATTGCTTACTATGCAATTAGTTTTTAGCGTTTTTCTCTGTGGATGTGTGTGTGAATTAATTTAATAATTTTAGGTGAGTGAGCACGTACCAATCCTTTTTGGCAAAACCTTCATCTTGTATTCTGTATGGTACCGTACGTTTTAAACCTTATCTAAGGTTTTGTTTGCTCTCCTGATTTCATATTCATTTTATTTATATATTATTTTATTGAATTCAGGAATTATTATTTAAACTTATACTATCCAGAGTAACGTATGTACCTCTGCACCTAGATTATAAGACGAATTATTTTGATTTTCAGATTTAAGTTTATGTAATCATGTACCAGTGGCGGTAGGCTACCGGTATACCAGTACCAATATGTTCCTGTTCCAAAGTCTCATTTTCATAGTTCCCGGTTAACTAATTGCTCGAAATATGGAATCACAAACAGGCACATCTGGGACTATAGAACCAGGATATAGAGAAGTGAGTGAGTTATTATATTCAATTGTGTAATTTTAGATGAATCGGCTCGGCGGTGTAGTGCACCATTCTAATACGCTTGCCATCACACCTCTGATTAGTGATTACCCAGCGTGGGTTCGTAGGTTTGAATTCCATGGGGGATAAGAGTTTAAAATATGAAACATATTATCTCACCATCACACACAAACACAAAGAATTACACAAAACACCAATCTAGTTAAACAAGGCTAGTACTATCTTGCAACTACCTACCATTGATTCAATGGTATAGAAACATTGGGGTATAATCAAGGCTAGTTAAAACATTTCTGTTTTACAGGAAAAAAGGGAAATTAAACAGAAAATTGGAAATGTTCAAGCAGGAATATTTGTTGGCCATCAAGTCAACAACTATGCATCAACACAGAACTCACTAAGTCACGAAGGTATAGTTCTGCTTTTTCAGGCGCCTCACTCGTTTTATTCAGATGAAAACTAGTTACTTTTTATCATTTAAGGACACATTTTTATATTTTTTTCGATATCGTTGTTTTCTACTTGTGATTGAAATTTGCTAATGTGTTCGTATAATTGAGTATTGCTCTCTTGTTTATTACAGGGCAAAGGTCAAGTAGCAATGATGGAAATGTTCAAAGTGACAATCCTGTGCCAGGTAGGATAGGATATACATATTTATTCCTGGAGAGAAGAATAATTGATAAGACGGCTTAACTATATGGCGAACCATGACCCTCGTCCGGTTACGGATTTGTTAGCGAGTTATTAGTATCCAGAAGCAAGGATTTGAATGGGGGTTTATTTTTTAAAAAATGTTTTATTCCCAAATTTTGACCTTTTTTGTGCCATGAGCAAAGCTTTGTACAGCCAGTCACTGATATGTGGGAATTGTTAATTTCAAAAAAGGAATTGTGTATTGAAAGGGGTTCTGAAACTTCTAATTGCCAAGTTGTACCTTAGTAGCTATCAGGTCCACGGGAAGCTGGAAAACATGGAATTTTCAAGAATCTAAAATAACTTTTCGAGCTAGGAAAAATTGTTATGTATGATATAGAAAAATGCTTTTTCTACTTTCAAGAGAGGGATTTTGAAAGACCTCCCTTTCCTGTGTACGCCCTTGGTGTTGAATCCGAGACGGTATGCCACTCTTACAAAGGATTTAGCATGATTTGCCAACTAAGATGCAAGAAACAAGCAATTTTCATGAAACTTAAATATCTTATGCCAATTTTACAATGAAATGTGCATGATTCGCCAACTACGATGCAAAAAACAAGCAATTTTCATGAAACTAAAATATTTTATGCCAATTTTACAATGAAATTTGCATGATTTGCCAACTACGATGCAAAAAACAAACAATTTTCATGAAACTAAAATATTTTATGCCAATTTTACAAAGGAATTAGCATGATTTGCCAACTACGACGCAAAAAACAAACAATTTTCACAAAATTAAAAAAAAAATTTTCCATTTCAGATTCAATCAAACTGACAGATTCCATCTTTCTTCTTCACAAGGAGTCAATTTCTCGCTATGGGACCGTTTGCAGGGGGGTGAAAATTTTCAAAATATCTGAAAAACAAATAATAGCTATAAAAACTCTCAAGTTTAATGAGCAAAACGATAAAGAAGCAAAAATACTTGTAAAACTTTGTCCCCATCCTAACGTTGCTAATATTATAGAGTCTGGAGTTTATTCCTTGGGACCTATTAAGCACAATTTTATTGCAATGGAATTGTGCGGCTCTCAAAATTTGGCCGAATATATAAAAGAAAAAAAAAGTCAAAGTTCGAAAGTAAAATCTCGACAAACACAACAACTTGTGGACAGTATTGCTCACATTCATAAAAACGAAGTTATTCATCGTGATTTAAAACCTGACAACGTGCTTCTATCTCCTGACGGAAACTATCTCAAAATTATCGACTTTGGTCTCAGTAAAGAACTAAGTAGCGGTCATTCTGTTACTAATTTAAGCACTTTACGTGTTGGCACTGATGGTTGGAGGGCCCCAGAAACGTACAACTCGAACGTAATTTCTAAAGCAACTGATGTTTACTCCCTGGCCCTTGTTATATATTACATTGAGACTGATGGGCATCACCCATTTGGTGATGACCCAGACGATTGGAATGCTAATATCAAGAAGAATCGTGGCTTGGATTTAAGCAAACTACAAGATAAGACTGAAATTGTGGACTTACTAAGATGGATGCTGAGGTTTAAGCAACGAGAAAGACCGACAATAGAGCAAGTCCAGAAGCATAAATACTTCGGCGGATCTATATCAGCTCCTGGTAAGCAATGCGGAGGCTATAATTTGAGTGTTGACTTATTAAAATCTCTAACCAGTGGTGCGAACCCTTTGCTTTGAAGAGTCATGATAATCAACTCATGGATATAAAAGAAAACCCCAATATTGAACGATGTCTCTCAATCGAAAATGGAAAGAAAATAAGAAACGATTGTAAACTTACGAACAAGGCCCTGTAAAAGCAGTCATTTATAAGTAAAGAGGGAAAGACCAAACGCTTACCGGTTCCGAATCGCCTACCTAATTTATCACAACCTGGCAGGCCGCAGCCAGCGGGAAAATTTTTTTTTAATATAAGTGATTACCTTCTGCTATGAAGAAACAATAACTCATTACACTTTCACTTCTAAAATATATTTTGGGCATTAATTATGCCGCTAGACTTTTAATTGTGTTGAGGATGCGATCTTCAAAAATGTGATGTGAAAACATGCCAAGACTATAGAACAGGAATAATCAGCCCCGGCCCATGACTGAATTATAGTAACAAAACAGCTGTTTTGACGATTATATTCTTTACGTAACAGAATTTATTGTAGGACACATGTAGACTGAATTATATTACAACATGGCAAGTATATAATTAGACAAATGGCAACATAACGCAGAAAACTTAATGCTAAGTGCAAAGGGTTCAATGGTGCCGAAAATATCAGTTGTATTTTTTTGAGATGCAATGAGGAAATAAATCTATATTCTATTTGAGAGATGTATCACTGCTTGATTTTTATTATAAAAAGTATCATCCATTTGGATTGCAACTTTCGCAAAATATGTGCGGCCCGCCAATGACTTGCAACCCTTAATTTTGGCCCGCGAGCGACAAAAGGTTGCCGACCCCTGCCATAGACTCAAATTTTGATTTGCTTTATCAAGAATTAACCGAGTGAAAATTTTAAATTTGTAGATTTTGGGAAGAGTCTTCAAAGCCGAAAATCATTGGAGATAGAAAATAAAGAATTGCAAGAAAAATTAAAACAAGCGGAGATGGAGATAAAGGTGTCGGAAATGAAAAGACGAGGTGGGTAAATTAAAGTGAGCACATTTGAATTCACTGGTTACTTCTTGTTATAAAAAATTCGCATAAAATATGCTCATCTCAGAGTGAGGTCACTGATAACTGCTGAGAAGTAAAGGAGACCCATTTAAGAAATATGGGTGACGGCTGGAATGCCGGCACTTCCGTACGATGTGAATTGTAAATCAAGATGGCGTACACTGGAACATAGTATTTGTACCAGGTTAGGGTTAGGCGACTACCTAAGTGAATCCCGTAGTATTTGTACCTGAAAGTACGGCCTAACCCTAACCTGGTACACATACTACATTTCGGTGTTCACCATCTTAGTTCACACACTACGATAGTACTGAAATGCCAAAATCTACCGAGACTATACTGATATATGGCTAAATAAAAGTGAAAAATACTCATTTCTGGGTGCACTATATAAATTCATGGTGTAATTAATTACTGATTGGCATTCAAGTGAATACATTTGCAACTGTTTACACAGCCGATCGCTCAAAATTTTCTCACAATCATTAAACAGTTGAAGAGCTGACAGACAATACAAACGGTAAGTTTTATTTTGCAAAATTTTGTGGAAATTTAAAAGCCTGGATTCGAAAGCTGAGGTAAAATCATATTGCCTACGTTATTTGCATGAGTGGGTCTTTGTTAGATCCTCAGCTGATTTCGCAACTCACATTTTGCCTTTCATACAGTTTGAATAGTTTATAATGAAGACGTGAATATGTATCACAATATTTTCTAATAAGTACAGAATATCACACACAAATACAGGGTTGTAATTGCCTCCTATAACAATTTAAATATCTGGACAGTAAAAAATACGGTAACATTTTTTTCTCAAACCATCAAATACTTTACAAAAACTTTACATAAGCCCATGGGCCCACTTTTATGGGAATCCTCTAAAGCGGGCCCCTATGCAAGCATTTCTTTTTAAGTCACCACATGGAATATGTGAACGGAACTGCGGAAACCGGAACGTAGTATGTGTACCAGGTTAGGGTTAGGCCATAAATTTCAGGTACAAATACTACGGAAGTCACTTAGCTAGTCCCCGAACTTGTAAAATAAGGAAAATTGGAATAAAATTATGGCCTAACCCTAACCTGGTATACATACTACGTTTCGGTGTCGGCCATCTTGGTTCACATACTTTGGAATTACCCAATTTTTTAACACAATTATATTTTCAGATGACAATGAAGACTTCTGAGTCATCATCCTCATTTTCTCAAAAAAGAATACAAACTTGAGCTAACCTAAAAAGTTAGTGCTGAGCAATTAAAGAATAATCTAAACCAGACATTGGCAAAGTATGACCCGTGGGCTAATTCAATCGGTGCTCCCGAAGTATGCGAACCAAGATGGCGGACATCGGAACGTAACATGGGTAACAGGTTAGGCGATAATTTTTTCCCAATTTTCCTTATTTTAGTCCTATTATTAGTTCGAAGACTAGCCAAGAGCCTCCCGGAGTATTTATTTCCTAAAATTATGGCCTAACCCTAACCTAGTACACATATTACATTCCGATGTCCGCCATCTTGGTTCGCATACTTCGGGACTTCGTTTTTACACTTTCATGTAATATACTTTTTTTAATTTTTGCAATTTCAAGTTGCTGCTGTAATTTCATGACTGAAGAGCAATCCAATTTTTTATGAATTCTAGCTAAAAAAAAAAATTTTGATTTACTATAATTTACTTCAAATATTGCTGCATTTATATTTTTTTGCACTTTCATACATATTCCAGTATATTAATTTCAAGACTATTATTCCATATTATTGCAGTAACCTTAGTTTTTACTTTTTGCAAATATCTATGTCGTTTTGTGTGTGTTCTTGTTGAAGTTGTTGCGAACTCCCCCTATTGGTGCATCGTCTAAGCCAGTGGTCCGCAACCTTTTTTTCAAATAAATTCTTCACTTTACCTATTGGGATCTTTTAACTCCGTCAGTCCTCGTTACGCATAAAAAAAATCTTTCCGTTATTTTCCGTTGTTAGTTCAATTATGAAGGGATTTTCACGTAGTAAATACAAGCACAATAAAAGTTTTTCGTTATTTGCTCGGGTATTGATACGCACACAATAAATTCCCCCATTACCTATTTCGATCCCTTAATTCCGTCCGTCCTCATTATGCATAAAAAAAATTACCCGTAGTGTATGCGCCAAGTCAGGGTTAGGCCATAATTTTATTCCAATTTCCCTTGTTGAATGAAGTATGAATAGCTCTCAAAGTGTGCTATATTTAAATAATATTCGAGTATTAAATTAATTACCATATTTCTTTCCCAGTGGGGAAACACAGGTATGCATTAGGGATGGGCAAAATTTGTTTTGAGACCGAATAATCGGGGCTCCCGAAGTATGCGAACCAAGTTGGCGGACATCGGAATGTAATATGTGTACTAGGTTAGAGTTAGGCCATAATTTTAGGTATAAATACTACGGGAGGCTCTTGGCTAGTCTTCGAACTGATAATAGGACTAAAATAAGAAAAATTGGAAACAAATTATCGCCTAACCCTAACCTGTTACCCATGTTACGTTCCGATGTCCGCCATCTTGGTTCGCATACTTCGGGAGCACCCAATAATCAGTATTGCACCAACTTATTCAAATAACTTTCAGCATTCCTATGTAACATAGTTAATGTAAAAAAAATTTAGACTGCAATTTCTACGTTATTAAATTTTGGGTGCTCCCGAAGTATGCGAACCAAGATGGCGGACATCGGAACGTAACATGGGTAACAGGTTAGGGTTAGGCGATAATTTTTTTCCAATTTTCCTTATTTTAGTCCTATTATCAGTTCGAAGACTAGCCAAGAGCCTCCCGTAGTATTTATACCTAAAATTATGGCCTAACCCTAACCTAGTACACATATTACATTCCGATGTCCGCCATCTTGGTTCGCATACTTCGGGAGCCCCAAATTTTGTTACTCTATGCTATTTTCTGTGTGTTCTTCAAGTGGTGGGTATCGATTTTCGTACTTGCGTTAGCAATCTCTATACTCTGAATTCTTTTACACAGCATATTTATGTGCCTTTCTCTCTAAAGAAGGCACCACACAAGCTTGCTTACCAAAATTATACATTCATGGCGAGAAGGCAGGCTTGGGATTTTTACTGGCCTAACTAAAAATCTCAAAAGCTATTCATAAGTGCCTTATGTGTTAAGGTTGGCTGGTATTTTCAGCGTAATGTCAACACATTCAAGTGTTCCCATTAATTTTTATTACAGAAATTATATAAAAAATTGCAAAAATATATCATTATTATTTTAAACATGACATATTGTATTTTTTCTTTTTGTGATTGCCTTATATTATATTAATTTGACAAATGTACTTCAAAAGGAATCTGCGAATAAATGTTGAAAATAACGATTTTTAAGATTTCGTGCTGTTTTATACAAATATTAGAAGACACCATGTTTTACCTATGTCCCCAAAAAAGGGTTATTTCGGGGAGAGGCTCCCATAGTATGTGTACAGGTTAGGGTTAATTTTATGCCGATTTTCCCTTTTTTAATTCTATCAGGAGTTCGGGGACTGTCTGTGTTAACCAAGTGAATATACTCCCTGTCCATAGGCTTCAGTCTCTTTACACAACATGATGTAAGTAGACAAACAAAATTAGTTTCTTCCATATTGGTACAAACACTTCTGGAGGAGAAGACTCCATAACACTGGGTCATAAAATATACTTCGTTTAACTTCTGACAAGAAACAATATAAAATCAAACAACTATCCTGCATTACTGAATTCTACTTACAATGATTTCTCCAAATTCTTCCTTCAGCATATTCTGCTTCATAGGTTTGTAGATCAAGGTCTGAAGCAGGGTTTCCCAAAGCGATGTCTGTGATAAATGCACTGAGGGTCCGCAATGATATCAAAAGGGTCTGAAACACATAGAAATAGATCATAAGCTTATCGAATTGCCGTTAGCCTGCCAGTATTCAACGTTAATATGTATTGATTCAGACTTTCGTGAGTTTTAATTCATCAAAGGAAACATTATTCTTCCTCGAGGGTTAGGCACATAAATTGATTCGGCATAAGTTCGGGGGTTCGTCAAAAATAAGATTGATAAACAGTAGTCGGCATCCCAAAAAGTTTGAGAAACCCTGGTGTTGAGAATAATAAAAAAATGTAGTAATAAACACTTTGAAAACAAGAAAGCCATTTTCGAATATATGGAAAAGAAAGTCAAATGTCAAAATAATGTTTCCAGAAATTAAATTAAAGAAGAACAGCCAAATTTTTGGGTGGAGTATCAGGTCCCAAAGGCATCAGAAAAATTTGAAAGAGTTATAGCATTCCATCTAACAACTTCTTCAGTTATTGAATAACTAATTTGGACTCTGAAATCAATTTATAATACAGATGACTTAGGGAACAGGGCCCTAGAGTCCCATTTGGAGTTGTATTTTTCAACTCTGTACGAAAATTCGAATTTTCAGGGGTTCGAAGTTTAGAAATAAAGAAGTAAATAGAATTGGAAGATGATCTACATTACATCTTGAGATGCAAAGTAGTTTTTTTTTAAATCGTTGTTTGCATTTTTCAAAGTACAGAGTAATAAGATTCAGAATCTGGGGAGGCTTTTAAATGATGACTTCTCAAGACCAATTTTTTTTTTTTTAGTTTGAAATTGCAGACAATTATTAGACATTAATTAGAGTTTGCGTACACAAAAGTTTGGAGCTGGACACGCATACATAACAATCATTATCTCAACGATTCTGCATTACATAATTTAATGCCTAAAAATTTACATGGCAAGATTGTGTATGTAGTAGTACCTTTCTCCTTTTGGTACCACAGTTAGGTTTAAAATAAATTATCTCATATAAATACTCAAAAACAATTAAAAAAAACAGAAAAAATGGGACTTGTGAAGCAAAAACTGCAAGTGTGTTGAAAAGAGTCAATGGGCCATACAGTCCAGATATGGCTCGAAGTTGCAATAGGTAAAGTATGATGGAGTATGTGCCCCAGCTTTTAATTTAGGAGGGGTGCTCTCATTTAGGGAGTAGGCTAGTAGATATTTTCTGATCAAACTATTTGTAACTTGTTAAAATGCGGTATTTATTGCCTTAGCAAATTTTAATTTCATTTCACAAGTCGATTCATAGTATATTCCATCAATAACAATGATAAATAATACTTGAACCTATATTAACAACATTTACATGGGTATAGTAAATTTTCTTTTTTTTAAATACATTTATAGCCAACCTCTGTCTGTTTATCTGACTAACTCTATCTATTACTTTGCTAAGATAAGAGGAAAAGATGACCTATAAAAGGAAGTACGTAGGTGGATATGAATATAATAGGTATACAATATGCGTGCAAGCTCGGCGACTCCTATACCGGGACTTTACTAGACCAAACCCGATACCGGTACAACGATAAAGGATCTGCATCAGCAGTCAGCACCTCGACAGATTTTGTAGGTGATTCCCCGGGGGTGCAAATATTGAGAAGGAAGATAGATAAAGTTTGCAAGGCACAATATCATTTATGCAAAGCGTTGCATCTGAATTTAGTGTAGAGGATTTTCAAATTTATGAGTAGAAACAGGAAAGTCTGTGAGACCTCTAAATCCAGAAATCGCTGAGTGCAGAAGGGCTTATGTACGTTACGGTACGTTAATGTTGCGTTAACGGTTCAAACTCTGCTAGGTTCACCTATCCTTTTATCAAGGCTTATGAAAGACCTCCATTGGGTAGATATGAAGCTGTGAATGCAATACCTTGTAAAACAACCGTTTGCATAAGGGATTCTATCATAATGACGATTTCCCAACTGACCACATTCTCATGGGCACAGCTCCGGAGTAGGAGTCCGGCAATCCTTACCTGCATTGATGAGGGAGTCGGGGTCATCTTTTCAATTATTCGGATAGCGAGAATTTATGCCAGTATGGAGATTTCGAACTTGCCAGAACTTCAGAGTCAGACTCGATTATTTAGAATTTTTTGAATGTCAACATTTTTGGCATGAAAAAAGCGTCAAGTTAACCCAAAGTTTTAAAAGGGCTTTTATACCTGCTTGCATAAGCATATTCCTCCTGACGTCGGGAGCGTTAGTCGAATATGTTTTTGAACCAAAAAAAAGACAGAAAGCACGAGTAGTATTTTATAATTTATGCTGTTCCGCATACCTGAATCAAAAATGGCTCTACTTATGGATCGCTTGTTTGTTGGGATTTTCTCCGCAACTAATCGATTTCGAAGCATTTCAATTTAGGGTGGAGACGGAGGGGCGGTGTTTCGAAATTGAGGGGTGGTAAATATTCTGCTATTAGCAATAAAACTATTTGTAACTTATAAAAATGTGTTATGCGATTAATTATCTGCACCTGCATACGAGTCACATTCTTAATATCCAAATACAATTACTGTATATATCAAGGTAGGTAGTAAAGTGTGGTTTCACAAAATTTAGGGGGGGGGGGGGGGTTTGAAATTTATTTTTAGAGAAATCACTGACTGATAATATGAGGTTCGATACCTCAAAATTCAATGTTTTTAATACCCACACACATGCCCATATGACATTCGATACAATTTTTGCAATTTTTGACCGCGGCTTTGCTAACATTTCAATGACCATATTGTTCATTTGATTTTCGTATCCATGTTTTCTTGTGATCAAACAGGATCTCATTTTAGCATGTGGAGGAAATGTAATGTAGCATGTAAAGGATATTGGTCAGTACAATTACAACCTTGTTAGAGTTAAGCATGTGTTTGCAAGAACAATTTTTTCATTTACGCTTATTTGAAAATACGTATATACGCACTAGCTTGTCCAGAGAAGTAGAAGTGTTGGGCAGAAGCCCCCAAACCCCTAGTCACGAGTCAATTTGAGTTTATCACTGGGTTAAGTTGCGTTGTCAGTTAGTGTAGCTCGAGTCCGAGTAACCTTAACAAGATTCACTGCCTCTCGTGGATGCCACTATTATCACGTCACGTATTTTTATGACGTCACACATCCCGTTTCCATATATTTTAATTCTAATGACACTCCCTAATCGAGGGCCAATTACACTGATGCATGTATCGCATTACCGAGCATTCCAGGATTTTGAATGGCTTTGAAAACGGGCGTTGTCATCGGAGTGGGCGCGTGAGGAGGGGAGTGTCCGACAGCATGTTACGAAACTCGATATACGATCGCGGCAAAGCTACATAACAGACAATTGAATTGGAATAACTCACTTTTCTAGATTAGACTAACGAATATAGGCAGGGCAAACAGATCCTCCCAGGCTCGATGACTGTGGCATAGCCAGAACTTTTTTAAGGGGGGTTAATTTTGATTGCCAAGTTTGACACAAATAGCTAGCACAGTGGTTCTCAAACTTTTTAAGAGAAATAAAAGTAAATAGCAACACGGTATGTCAAGCATTCATCTATTGAATGACATTAAAACAGTTCAATGAGATGAGTGCGCCTGCTTGGCTCCCAGTAGTTCTTCTATCTTGGGTTATGTTTTGGATAGAACATAGAAAAGGCTGCCTCACATTCGTAAGTTGTTGCAAATGGAATGAGCATTTTTAGTGCCATCTTAGCGACATCGGGATATGATGGTGACACTGTGGTTTTTCTTTTTATCCAGAACTATCACACCAAAACTAAATTTCACATATGAATCGTTATATCTAAATTTATTTTTTATGGCGGGAGAATAGGGCATTTTTAAATAACAATTAGCAATTCAGAAGCAGTCCCCAGAAAGCTGCGGGCTGTAATCTATATTCTTAAGTAAGATATCAGAACTTTTTAACGACACATGGTTAAGTGTTTTAATTAAATGGAAATGAAAGTTCTGGACATGTAAACTATCAGTTTGTGAGGGCCAATTCATGAAAACCTTTCTAAAATAATCATATACTAAATTTCGCAATGATGAAGTATTGGGAGAATTTCTGTGGCGCCAATGGTCGAGAAATCATGTATACACCAAGTGACTTAATTGTAAATCATGTAAAGGAAGTGTTTTATATACATATCGCGGTATCAATCGGTACGACCTAGATTCGTTCTGAAGTTTATAATTATGATATGACTAAATCAGCTTCAATTAAAAGAATTTCCTTAGTATAAGATCACGCGCTCATTTCGAATTAAAAAGAGACTGATATCTGGGACAAGTTACGGGCTAACCAACATCCCGATTGGAAATCGCTGTTTTATAGAATTAAAATATATACGAACATTTCGGTACTCTTGTAGTATGCGAACCGAGATGGCGGACACCGGAACGGAGTATCTGGACCAGGTTAGGGTTAGGCAATAATTGTATTCACATTTTCCTTCTTTTAGTTCTATTACGAGTTCGGAGACTAGCCAGGTGACTCCCGTAGTATTTGTACCTGAAATTATGGCCTAGCCCTACACATACTACATTCCGGTGACTGCCATCTTTGTACGCATACTTCGGGATTACCAAAGGGCGTTTGTTTGATCGACGGGCGATTTTCGTTTTTCGATGACACGGTTGATATTTGCATGACCTGTAATAGATTTTTCCTGAAGTACGTAGCCTACGCTATTGCGATTATCACACCAAACCTTAAAGATCATATTTGCTAGTTGCTATGGGCGTTAACTACAGAAATAAAAATGGAAAAATCATTTCCTTTAATATATGCTTAAATAATACCACATGATTTTTTAACCTTTTAAACGGGAGTATTCGTAACAATAAATGACAGTAAAATTTATAAATAAAGAATCATTTTATACAAGTATACATTTAACGATACCGAATACCTTAGCCGGGATTTTCGGAAACGTACACATTAAATAATATTTGAAAAATCGATGGAACATTTGAAAATGTTATTAATTAGACGAACTTAGATGGCGACTATGGGCTTCCTAAATTTAAAAATGAATGATAGTTCAAAATTGAATGTCGTGGCCTTAGGCTTCAGTCAGGTATGTACATTGCGATAAATCATTAGGTAATCCACACCTCAAAGAACATAATTATGTCGCAATAGCTATGGGCGTTGACGGTCATCAAAGGGCAAAAGTATAAATATATATGCTGAAGTAATATTGTTTTACACTTATGAAGATTCGAGGTGGCAGTGGTATAAAAAGGACATTAAGATATTGCAAGTTCGGCTACGCAGCTAAAGTGTTAAGCTCAGAATTAAAATCTCATTTTAGCATCTGAGAAATGGGAGTTTTAGACATATTTTATGAAGTTTGGCGGAACGTACGATATAACTAGCGTACATGTTGATAATAAATAAAACACAACCAGCGTTAGCAAAGCGATGTAATTTTCCGACGTTTCGAATTTCTATTCAGAAAAACTTCATCAGGGCATGATATGGAAAAGACACTAGTGTATATATATATAAGGGACAAAATTATCATGGCGTAAAATCTAATCTACAAAACAAACACGACAATAAAATAAGTGATCTAAATAAATTAGCGCAAGTACAAACAAATATGGATGGGGGCTATTTAAGATTCTCCTTTTTGTCGTCAAGTAAAATATAGCTTAGTGAGAAACTGTCGAGCACCAGAGGCGCATAAATAAGATATAGGACTTACATATTTATCCCCGGGTAGATAAAAGCAGAATAAGACAGCTTAATAATATGTCGAGTATGGGATTAGTTAGTCAGTTATTTTTTTAGGTGCATGAACTCCATACATGTATTTTCATTGCAAGAGAGGTCAATAAAATCTCCTCCCTTCGATAGGTATTTAATTTCTGGCTAAATGCCATTTCTAGTTTAATGCAATTTTAACATACGACGGTTTATTATTCAAATAAGGTTACATTTAAGCAGCGACTAATGTGTAACGAGTAACATTATGTGTAACATTATATTTGAATAGACTCTAATATTTGCGGTTCGGTATCGCCTACCTTCTACCCTGGGTGTTGTCGAGGGAGTGAGTTTCAAACAAGGTATGAAAACCGTGATGTCAAAATATTCTAATTCAAAGCTACATTCACGAGACCATCACGCCCAATTTAATTTATGTGAATTGTTATTTTGAGTTGCACCACTATGTCTATAGAATGTAGCCTTATCCTTTAGTACCCACATTACGAACGGTGTATGAGGTTGCGAGGCATTGAATATCTCGACGTATTATAAAAATACTGTATTTTCTATGAACAACAATAGAATTAGATAGTTATTTATAGCACATATCGTGTATTCAATAGCAACGCGCTTTCAATAAATACTGGGAGCGCCTTATGACAAAGCCCACACACTGAATGGCTTGGCGGGCCGGGTTTTGGCCCACGGGCCGCCTGTTGCACACCCCTGATCTAGACTGTCCTGGGTTGTTCACAGATTCTCGTCCACTTCTATACTCTTGACACACCCCTAATAGGCACATAATGAAAGATTAATTAGTGCTTTGTTCCGTCATCTTACCTTTGATATTTATATATATATATATATAACAGTATAACATCATTCAGGTTTATTTTTAAACTGAGCCATCGTAAGATTAGATGCGTTGTTAGGTCAGGTTCATATAATTGCCACGACTCTTAGATTAGAGGTGGTTCGCACGAGAAATTGATATAGGGAGCAAATAGCAAGTACTTTTCTTTCAAGTGGATTGAGATTTCGCAAGTCTGGGAGCCAGGGTGTTAGAGACATTACGTAGGATAGGGTTTCAATAATCTTCCCGAGGAGGAAAAAGAAGATAAAACGGTTTCATCATATGGCGAACCACGGTGTCTCGTCTGGTTACCAGTCCATGT